AATTTTTGTTCGACAAGTCTCGCATTTATGAGTTTGGGTTAAAATGGGTTTAAAGTAAATGCGGGAATTAAACTGTTTAACAAAAAAAGAATTCATTCTTTGGAGAGGAGACTTATCAAGCATGCATATAGTACACTCCTCACAAACTTAATCCTATCGTCCAGTTACACGCAACCTACTAGACTCATCAATGTCATCACGTATCAAATATAAAACCCATTGTATCACCTCGACAGCGATCTCTCAACCACCTCAACAACACAGAAGTCAACTGTGTTAATCATGTTGACAATCTCTCGGCACAACACAACCAACACGAGGCATTAATCACAGACACCCAAGTGAATAATAGCACTAAATCTATGTTTAGAATCTAGACACTATTAGACAATCACACTAGTTAAGAATTTGAGCAGTATATATCTATAGCAACCCAAACCCCAAACAGAGCAAAAATCCAGGATAACAATCGATAAAGATTTATAAAGAAAGTTTTATACAATGCCATGGGCAACAAATATATGTGAGTTCAAAGTAAATACATATACAAACCCAACAAATAGAGAATACACAAGGAAGAAGAGAAATAAACCACAAATCTCTCGGTTTGTCAGCGTCGATCGAAGAGAAATCCATCCTAGATCATCCGTATGCAAGCTCCATATTTGTTTTCTAAGCTAATCTACCAAAAAATGAGAGTGATGGAATTTTGGAACAAATACACCCCAAAAACCATAATCTAACAAATGAATGAAATGAAGTTATAAAATAAATCTCAACAGACCGCGCTAAGCGGGATCACCGTGCTAAGTCGCCGACTGCGTTAGGCGGGCTGAACGCGCTAAACCGGTTGCACTTATTTAACACATAAAACTGCGCTAAGCGTGCTATCCGCGCTAAGCGGGCTCCAAAACTCTGCTTTTACAAAATCTGTCAAAACACTCATAGCGCACTACAGAATCCGCTTAGCGCGTCTGCCTGGACAGGACTTCTCAAAAATGGACTTTTATTCCTAAAACACACATTCGGAGCCGTGCCTTCGATACTTTATTCCTCAATGCTTCAAATGTGAAACAAATACCTACAAAAGAAGTAAAATCTATCAAACGTTACACAAATGAATCAAAATTACAACTATATGCAAACTAAATGTATTAACAAACAAAGCGGGGAATTATTCAACGAATATCAAGAAAAGAACTGATAAGTTCCCCAAAACATATATACAAAATACCTACATTTTTTCACTTATCAACCAAATGTTATAGCACTCATGTTGGAACATTGTGTTCCACATGTGTCCCTTCTACACCATAACCGGCTTGAACAACATCCATGTTATTTTGTATAATATAGCTAATCTCAAAAAGAAACATCAACAAACATTCCTAATAATGCTCTAACAAACGAACTAATCATAATAAATAAAAAAACTAAAAGTAAAATATGATATATTTAGGAGGACCTCAATATATTTAACATTATATTTTATTATATTTTTTTATCAATCTTTTAATAAAATTTACAAAGTTTAATTCTCAATTTTTTCTATATTATTTATTTTCATATTGTGGTTTTTTTAGTAGCAGTGGATTTGAAGAAAGACTATAAAAGGAGAATCGATGAGATGGAAAGAGAAGTTGTTTCTAGAAAGTTAGGAGGGAAGGTGATTAACATTTGTTGAAATGATTATAGGATCATTGAACATAAGAGAGAGAGAGAGAGAGGTAGCATCTTAAAGAGGAGAAGAATTATCCATTTTATTAAGAAGGAAAACACAGATTTATTCCTTATCCAGAAAACTAAATTTACATCCATGCTAGATTCAATGGCCAGAAGTTTTTGGAGTAAGGAAGACATTGGCTTTTCTAATTCTAACTCGGTGGGGCAATCAGGAGGTCTTTTGGTTCTTTGAAAGTTAGACCGTGTTGACGTTATGTGAAACTTTAAAGGAGAAGGATTCTTGGGAGTCGAGATTAAATGGAAATTTTTCATTTACTATATTGTTAACTTGTATTCTTCTTGCACGCCAGTTCTGAAACGTGCTTTATAGAGAAATTTGTTGGAGTTTAAGTTAAGACATTTTGATGGGGAGTGGTGTTTTAGTGTGGATTTTAACGATGTTAAGAGTTATAGGGAGAGGATAGGTAGGTTGCTTCTCGGTAATAATGTGGAGATGAAGGAATTCGATGAGTTCATTGAAGAAAGTTCTCTAGTTGATATTTCTTGCAAAGGTAAGAAGTTCAGTTGGTTCAGTGGTGATGGGAAGGTGAAGAGTAGGATTGACCGTTTTCTTCTTTTAGATAGTATTTTCAGTAGATGGAGGTGGTGGGGCAGTTTATTGGGCTCGGAGATATGTCAGATCATTGTCCGATTTGATTGATGGTTGATAGTGCGGATTGGGGTCTGAAACCTTTTAAGGTTAACAACAAGTGGTTCAACAATAAATATTGCTTCCCCTTTATTGAGAAATAGTGGAAAGATTTGGTTGTTGAAGGGAGATGTGATTTTATTCTAAAAGAGAAGTTACAGTTACTTTAAGATAGATTTAAATGGTGGAATTATGAGATTTTTGGGAGGTTTGATTTGGAAGTGGATGAGGGAGTTAGGGAGTTGAACATTAGAGATTATCAGGTTGGGACTGATGAAGTTTCCTTGCGCGAAGATGCTCTTGATATTAGGAGAAAAGCTACTAGTCAGTTTTAGTTGAATCTTAAGATTAAGGAAAATATGCTTATTCAGAAATCCAGACTAAAGTGGCTTAACGATAGAGAAAATAATAGTAAGCATTTTCATCGTGTCATGAAAGGGAGGAGAAGATGTAATTTCATTGGGTCAATTAATTTGAGTAGAGGTATTTTGGATTCGATTAAGGAGGTCAAGGAAGAGGTCTTGCCCCATTTTTCCATCAAGTTTTCAGAGCCAGATTCGTGCAGGCCGATTCCCAAAGGGATCTGTTTTAGTAAGCTTAACCAGTTCGAGAGTTCTTTTCTTTGTTGCTCCGTTTTCAGAGAGTGAGATTAAGGAGACGGTTTGGGGGTGAGGGTTCAGAAAGCTCGGGAGCATATGGGTATGATTTCTTGTTTATTAGAAGATGTTGGCATTTTTTGAAAAACGATTTTGTTCGCTTTTTTAAGGATTTTCAAGTTGGGGCTGATTTGTCCAAAGCGGTAACATCTTCATTCTTGACTTTGATTCCAAACGTCTCTAATCCATTGGGGTTGGATGATTATATGCATATATTCCTTTTTGGGTGTACGTACAAAGCTCTCTCCAAACTTTTGGAGACATGATTGAAAATCGTCCTACATTCTATTGTGTCAAATTGCCAAAGCGCATTTGTGATGGATAGACAAGTGTTGGATGGTGTTTTTGTGAAAAATGAAGTGATGGATTTTGCGAATAAGGAGGGTAAGGGTTGTTTACTCTTTAAATTCAATTTTGAAAAAGCTTACAATAATGTGAGCTAGGGCTTCCTTAGATTCATGATGAGGAAGATGGGGTTTGGAGAGATTTGGATGAGATGGATGGAGGTGACGATCTTCACTAGCAAGATGTTAGTGTTAGTTAACGAGAGTCCAACTAAGAAGTTTATAGTTGAGAAGGGATTAAGGTAGGAAAATCCTCTATTTCCTTTTCTCTTTGTTCTTGTAGTGGAAGGATTGTCGGGTTTGGTTAGGAAAGCCGTGAAAAATAGGGATTTTAGTGGTTTTAATGTTAATGATAAATGTATCATTGATATCCTTTAATTCGCAGATGATACTTTGTTGTTGGAAGATGGTATTTGGAAGCATGTTTGGGCTATCAAGTCGGTGTTGAGAGGTTTCGAGTTAGTATCAGGATTGGATCAACTACCACAAAAGCAAGTTGATTAGTATCAACATTAATCCTTATTTCTTAGAGGTAGCTGCTTGTTTTTTTTTCTTGCAGGTTGAAAGAAAAAGCTTTCATTTTCCTCGGAATTCCTATTGAGTCTAATCCAAGAAGGATTTCGACGTGGCAACCGCTTATAGAAAAAAATGAAAAATCGATTATTTAGTTGGAATCTAAGGATTTTGCAGAACGGTATTATTTTTAGGAACGATGATTGGAATGTTTTAGATGTGGTTTGGAACCTTAAAGTTTTGATTTAGAGATGGTCCATCATAGGAGATATTACACATCCCAATTGTATCTTTTACGACTTTAACAAAAACCTTTTGTTTTATTTATCTTAAATTGCAATTGAATTGTAATTTTTATGTTGTTGAACTGTTGTCTTGCTTTTTGTAATCTGATTTGAGAATCCTTAATTCTTCCTTTAATATATCTTACTTAATAAAAAGGTTTTACGATGATCAATTTTCTTTTTATGATAGAGATTAAAGACGGGGTATAAGAAAACTTACCGTAACATAAGTAAGCATCATTTAGTAATGCTTGAGCTAATTTGTAACATACACATCATCAACGTTTCTTTCACTAAAAATCAAAGAAAAAATTGGTGAAAATAAAATAAATAATAAAGTTGTTAAAAGAATAAGATAAAGCATTGCTTATTAAAAGAATAAGATAAAGCATTGCTTATTAAAGAGAAATCGTAATATTGAGATTGCTATTCATTCAAATACAAGTATTTTTGTAAAGTGGTTTCCCAAAGTTTAGTTCACAAATAATACAAAATACTGGTCAGATTTGGTTATAAAATAATTCTTAAGACAAAGTCATTAAGTTGAGAGTTAACAGACTTAGGCTGCCATAGTTGTATTGGTACGTACCCACTTGATTGGTTGTTGAGTTTAATAGATAAAAATTCACCTTCTCATAATGTTTAGGTTTGAGTGAAACACGTGATGTTGAGCTACCTTCCAATATACATTCACTCTTATTTTCCTTCCTATAAAACCATCCCACCTCACACATCTTTCCACCACAACACTCTTCATCATCCCATTCCTTTTCTACAACAAATTCTGCAAACTACTAACGCATACTTTGAAACTTATTACATCAAGATCAAGATGGTGAGTGTTTCTGAAATTCGCAAGGCTCAAAGGGCAGAAGGCCCTGCAACTATCTTGGCCATTGGCACTGCTAATCCAGCAAACTGTGTTGAACAAGCCACATATCCTGATTTCTATTTTAGAATCACAAACAGTGAGCACAAAACCGAACTCAAACAAAAATTCCAGCGCATGTGTAAGTGTTAATTTTATATTCCATTTCTTTAGTGTTACCTAACTAATTGTTGTACTAATTAATTTCATTTCTTTATAACTACTTCAGGTGATAAATCCATGATCAAGAGGAGATACATGTATTTAACAGAAGAGATTTTGAAAGAAAACCCTAGTGTTTGTGAATACATGGCTCCTTCATTGGATGTTAGGCAAGACATGGTGGTGGTAGAGGTACCTAGACTAGGGAAAGAAGCTGCTGTGAAAGCTATAAAAGAATGGGGGCAACCAAAGTCAAAGATCACTCACTTAATCTTTTGCACTACAAGTGGTGTAGACATGCCTGGAGCTGATTATCAACTCACCAAACTGTTAGGTCTTCGGCCATATGTGAAAAGGTTTATGATGTACCAACAAGGGTGCTTTGCAGGTGGCACGGTGCTTCGTTTGGCCAAGGACTTAGCTGAGAACAACAAAGGTGCTCGTGTGTTGATTGTTTGTTCTGAAGTTACAGCAGTCACATTTCGTGGCCCAAGCGATACTCACTTGGATAGTCTTGTTGGACAAGCATTATTTGGAGACGGAGCTGCTGCACTCATTGTTGGTTCTGATCCAGTACCAGAAATTGAAAAACCTATATTTCAGATGGTTTGGACTGCACAAACAATTGCTCCAGATAGTGAAGGAGCCATAGATGGACACCTTCGTGAAGCGGGGCTAACATTCCACCTTCTTAAAGATGTTCCCGCGATTGTCTCAAAAAACATTGATAAAGCATTAGTAGAGGCTTTTCAACCATTGGGAATTTCTGATTACAACTCAATCTTTTGGATTGCACACCCTGGTGGACCTGCAATTCTTGATCAAGTGGAGCAAAGGTTAGCATTGAAGCCAGAAAAGATGAAGGCTACTAGAGAAGTGCTTAGTGAATATGGAAACATGTCAAGTGCATGTGTTTTGTTTATCTTAGATGAAATGAGAAAGAAATCGATTCAAAATGGACTAAAGACAACAGGAGAAGGACTTGAATGGGGTGTCTTATTTGGCTTTGGACCAGGACTTACCATTGAAACTGTTCTTTTGCGCAGTGTCGCTATATGAGTTCCTTAACTATTTTATTTTCATGTATCGCATTCAAATTTTCTTTATTTTTATGTAAGGATGAAAAAAATCATCCACACTTCCAAATGTAACATCATATTTAAATAATAAAACTGTGATTTGTTTTATATTCATAAGATACTTATTTATTTAAAAATATGTATATATTTATATTTAAGAATTAAATTGAGTTAACATATTAAAGACAACGGAGAAATACTTAAGAAGTTAATTTGTATTTTAAAATAAACAAACAACTATACTGAATTAAATCTTTAATAGCGTCTTTTTAATAGGATTAGACCAAAACTAATTAACAATTATTTTGTTATATTAACATTATCAAGTTGAAGAGTAGCCGAAAAATTACTTATTCCTATTTATGTAAATTTTGAAAGGACTAATATGAATTAAAAAATTTATAAGCAAAGAAGATTAAATTAATGATAAGCATAAGAGGTCCTTAACCCTCAATACACGTGAAACCATGCATTTGTGGTTCCAAAAGTCAATAGATTTTCCTTTCCCTAGCTTACAAGAAATACTATCATAAAACAAATTTTGATCTTCTACAAGGGACACACCCACACTTCTCACATCTCTCCACCATAATGAATCTCTTTTACCACTCTATTGCATCCAAGATTTGGCTTTAACGTATGCAAGCAATTCTGACCAAATGGCATCTTGCTTAGTGAAAATTCTCCAACTCCACATTCTAGGCAAATCATCATTGAATCTTATGCAATGTTTGAATCTCAGCTCTCCGTCTTCCTTTGCCACACACACTCTCCAGCTAACCCAGTTGACTAATGTTAGGAAGTTTATTATTATTATTATTATTATTATTATTAAACTATTAGTTGTACTTTTGTTTGTTTAGTAATTCCTAGTTTTTAGGAAAGACCTATTCTTTAGGAAGAATAGAGTTTGTTTCTGTTTGGTTATTACCACGTTTCAAATTTGTTAGCAGTAGATTTTATTCTGCTTGTAAGGCTATTTATAAGTCCTATTTTGTGAATGAATAATTATCCCTTTCAACTAAATGTTATTCTAAAATTAACATTTGGTATCAGAGCTGTGCAAGGGGCCAAATTAAAAGTGTGTGAGCAGAATGACAACTTCAGAAAAGTTTGTGCAGCCGTCCATTCTCAAGTTCGATGGCCATTATGATTATTGGTCAATGATGATGGAGAACTTTCTAAGGAGTAAGGAAATGTGGAATCTGGTTGATGAAGGAATTCCTGCAGCAGCAATTGGGACAGCAACGGCGAGCGAGGTGCAGAGAAAGACGGTGGAAGAAGCCAAACTCAAAGATCTGAAGGTCAAGAATTTTCTGTTTTAGGCCATTGACAGAGAAGTTCTTGAAACAATTCTTGACAAGGGAACCTCAAAAGCAATTTGGGACTCAATAAAGCAGAAATATCAAGGGTCTACAAAGGTGAAAAGGGCACAACTGCAAGCATTAAGAAGGGAGTTCGAGTTGCTGGCCATGAAAGAAGGAGAGAAAGTAGACACTTTCTTGGGGCGAACCTTGACCTTAGTGAACAAAATGAAGTCAAACGGTGAGACAATGGAGCAGAGTATGGTGGTCAGTAAGATACTTAGATCTTTAACTATCAAATTTAACTATGTTGTGTGTTCAATAGAGGAATCAAATGATTTAAGTACTCTGAGTATTGATGAATTACATGGAAGTTTACTAGTTCATGAACAAAGAATGCAAGGATACCAAGAGGAGGAACATGTTTTAAAAGTGGCTCATGATGATTGATCAAACAGAGGTAGAGGTCGAGGCATGTTCAGAGGAAGACGTGGCAGAGGTAGAGGGAGACAACCCATGAACAAAGCAGTCATTGAATGTTTCAAATGCCACAAATTAGGACATTTCCAATATGAATGTCCTGATTGGGAAAAGAAAGCTAACTATGCTGAATTAGAAGAAGAAGAACTTTTGTTGATGTCATATGCAGATATTCATCAAGAAAAGAAAGAAGAGATGTGGTTCCTGGATTCAGGCTGTAGCAACCACATGACGGGAAACAAAGAATGGTTCTTTAAATTGGAAGAAAATTTCAATCGAACAGTGAAGCTTGGAAATGATACGAGAATGGCGGTAGTAGCAAAAGGGAGTATAAAGTTGCAAATAAATGGCATAATCCAGGTAATATCTGATGTCTATTATATTCTTGAGCTTAAAAACAATCTATTAAGTATAGGGCAGCTTCAAGAGAAAGGATTAACCATTTTAATTCGGGATGGAACTTGTAAAGTGTATCCATGTGTTTGCAAACTGAAGATGTATCAGAGAAAGAGGCGCGCATGTGGCACAATCGATTTGGGCACCTGAATCACAAGGGATTAAGAACACTAGCCTTCAAAAAGATGGTGATTGGCTTACCTGTTCTCAAATCTCCTAATGAGTTATGTACAACCTGCCTAACTGGAAAACAACACAGAGATAAAATGCCAAGGAGGAGTCTGTGGAAGGCATCAAAACAGCTCCAACTAGTACATTCAGATATATGTGGCCCTATCAAGCCAGCATCCCACAGTGGCAAGAGGTACATTCTAAGTTTTATCGATGATTATTCTCGTAAAATTTTGATTTATTTCTTACATGAAAAATCAGAAGCTTTTATTACTTTCAAACATTTTAAAGCTAATGTTGAGAAAGATGTAGGTGCATTCATAACTTGTTTGAGGACTGATAGAGGTGGCGAGTTCACCTCAAATGAGTTTGGAGAATTCTGTAAATCACAGGGCATTAGTAGGCAATTGACAGCAGCCTATACACCGCAGCAGAACGGAGTTGCCGAGAGAAAAAATCGGACAATTATGAATGTTGTCTGATCCATGCTAAATGAAAGAAAAGTTCCCAAGACTTTCTGGTCCGAGGCTGCAAAATGGTGCATTCATATTCTGAATCGATGCCCGACAACAGCGGTTGAAGATAACACCCCAGAAGAGGCATGGAGCAATGAAAAACCAATGGTAGATTACTTCTGAGTTTTCGGAGGTGTGGCACATGTTCATATACCAGATCAAAATAGGAGCAAATTAGATGACAAAAGCAGAAGATGTGTTCTTCTAGGAGTGAGAGATGAATCAAAAGCATGGAGGTTGTATGATCCAATCTCAAAGAAAATTATTGTCAGCAAATATGTTGTTTTTGAAGAAGAAAAAGGTTGGGATTGGGGCAGATCTGTTGAAGAAATAAAGCGAGATATACTAGAGTGTGAAGATGAAGGAGATATTGTGGCGGATCAAAATGAAGAACTTGGTGAAACAAGCCCAAATAACTTGAGTGGCAGTCCTGGAAATTTCAGCAGTTCCAGCATCTCTAACAACAGCTCCAACAAATCAAGTAGTCTGATAATTTCACCCCCAAATGAGCCAAATTCTGATGATAACGATTTAGTTGAAGGGAGGGGCATGCGAGTAAGAAGAGAGCTAATATGGATGACAGATTATGAAACAGGGGAAGGTCTTTCTGATGATGAAAATCTGAATGCAATGATGATGGTAACTGACAATGACCCTACAACGTTTGAAGAAGCAGTAAAATGCAAGAACTGGAGGGAAGCAATGTCAACGGAAATTGAATCCATTGAGAGAAACCAAACTTGGGAACTGACTGTGATTCCTAAAGATATCAAACCTATTGGAGTCAAGTGGGTATTTAAAACAAAGTTGAATGAAGATGGTACTATGGAGAAGTTCAAAGCGAGGCTCGTAGGAAAAGGGTATGCACAACGCCAAGGTATTGATTATACTGAGGTATTTTCTCCAGTGGCAAGACTCGACACTATCCGTGTAATTCTTGCCATAGCTGCACAATTTAGTTGGGAGGTCTTTCAACTTGATGTAAAAGCGCTTTTCTTCATGGTGAGCTAAAAGAAGAAGTCTATGTTGAGCAACCCGCGGGGTTTGTAAAGAAAGGAGAAGAAGAAAAGTCTACAAACTAAAAAAGGTATTATATGGGCTTAAGCAAGCACCGTGAGCTTGGTACAGCAGAATCGAAGCTTATTTCATACGAGAAGAATTCGAAAGATGTTCTAGCGAGCATACTCTATTTACAAAATCAAAAGGAGGTAAACTCTTAATTGTAAGCCTTTATGTTGATGATTTAATTTTTACCGGGAATGATAGAAGCATGTGTGATGAGTTTAAAAATTCAATGATGTCAGAGTTTGATATGTCTGATTTGGGGAAAATGAAGCATTTTCTTGGAGTAGAAGTGAAGCAATGTGCAGGTGGAATATTCATTTGTCAAAGAAGATATGAAAAGGAGGTTTTAGCTAGATTTGGTATGGAAGACAGTAATGCTGTGAAAAATCCCATTGTACCGGGTACAAAATTACGCAAAGACGAGGGAGGTGTCGCCGTTGATGAAACTCTGTATAAGCAAGTGGTTGGAAGCCTTATGTATTTGACTGTAACTAGACCTGACATGATGTTTGGTGTTAGTTTAATAAGCAGGTTCATGACTAGACCTACTATGGCACATTGGCTGGCAGCAAAGAGGATTTTAAGGTACCTAAAAGGCACAATTAATCTGGGTATCTTTTACAGGAAGCAAGAATATAATCTAAAATTGGTGGCCCTCACTGATAGTGATTATGCCGGTGACTTAGATGATCGGAAAAGCACTTCTGGATTTGTGTTTAAATTGGAAGCGGGAGTTATTTCTTGGGCCTAAAAAAAAGCCAGATGTCGCTCTCTCCACCACAGAGGCGGAATACATAGCAGCAGCTTTATGTGCGTATCAATGTGTTTGGCTTAGAAGAGTGTTGAAAAAGATTGAAGTTGAAAATAAAACAGCAACTTCCAAATGTAACATCATATTTAAATAAGGTAATTCATTGTTTTTCTGTATCGCCACAGTGAGGACACTGTTTGTTCTTAGTATGAGGGGTTTTTCATTGTTTTTAATTATTATTATTCTCAAACTCAGTATTGTTTTAATTATTTTCGAATAATATATTTCGGTCCTAAAA